AACTGAAAAGAAAAATGTTTTTGGCAAGAAATAAAAATCAAATTATTAAATTGATTTGATAGCATTTAGAAATCCATTCTTTTTTTTTTTAAAGATAGAAGATGTGCTCCTCAGATTTATAATTTTTATTTATTTATTTATTTATTTTTCCCCCAAAGCCCCAGTAGATAGTTGTGTGTCATAGCTGCACATCCTTCTAGTTGCCGTATGTGGGACGCGGCCTCAGCATGGCCGGAGAAGCAGTGTGTCGGTGCGCGCCCAGGATCCGAACCCGGGCCGCCAGCAGTGGAGCTTGCACACTTAACCGCTAAGCCATGGGTCCGGCCCCTAGAAATCCATTCTTTTTGTTTCTTTTTTGTTGTTGTCATATCTTGGTATTTCTCTACTTATAAAGTATAGAAAATGAATGAGTTTCTGATAGAGGTCTCTGTAAATGCATCTTGTTTAATATCACTTTATCTCTAAAGTCCATTTTGGTTTGTGGTTTTTTTCAGATGCCTGTTATTTAGATTTGTTTTTTTTCACAGTAGCCCAAAGTACTTTTCTAGTAAATTATGTAGGACCTATGTTTTAAGAGGATGGCTATTTTTTGTAAGTTTTAATATTTACGTAATAAAGAGCTTATTCTCTTGAGTCCTCTGTCATTACCATATGTTTTACCCCTGTAGTTCCTATGTCATCTCTACATTGCTCTTGTTCATGTAACTATGGACTTTAATTTTGACGTTTTAAATTTATAGATTTGTTTCTTTGATTGAGACATCATCCTGTCTTGGCTGCCTACCCTCTTATGTCTATTTCAACAATGTAACTGGCAGTTTATTAGTTTTCCGACTCATAAACTTTGCTCTTACTTGTTGAAGGTTAACATTTACTATCGACTCCTCATTAAAACTGAAATTCAGAATCATCTTTTGAAAGAAAAAGGAACGTGAACCAAGGCTAAAAATAGATAGATCAGCAGGACAAATCAGCAGAAAGTTTGGGATTTATAACTGGTCTTCCCCCCAGGAAGATGAACCAAGTGTTAGAAGCAGTGCATCCCTGGAGTGGCAGCATAGCATGCTGGATTAGAGCATGGACTGTGGAGGTGTATGCATGGGTTCTGACCCCGGGCCAGCTACTTGCTGCCACTAGGACTTGGACAAATTTCCTAAATTTTCTGTACGTCTGTCTCTGTGTTGGTAAAACGGGGATAATACCAGTGCTTCTTCTTAGGAATATAATTAGAATTAAATGAATTATATTTGTAAAGAACTTAGAATTTAGCACAAAGTAAGTTTTTTAAATAAATAGTTTTTTAAAAAATGAGAAAGTGATGAAAACATATCCTCTCCTAAGATAACACATTTCTTAATTCTGAAAACAACAAATAAATATTTTTCCTTTGTTAACGCTAGGCTCCCTATTCTATGTAAAACAACCACACATATCTATTATAGAAATCACATTATATTGTAGAAGATAGGCTAGAAAAGGAGTATTTGATCTATTTAGAGCTAAGAACTTTTTTTTTGTTTACTAAAAATACAAAGACAGTTTAACAGACAATTTATAGATCTTGTTGGCTAAAAGCAGGAGTTTGGAGAGATTCTGTTCTTGGTTTAGGGCTTCTAATTTCTGTATGACAACTGTCACTATTGTCTAAGATCTGGATGAGATATTCATTCTCAAATGAGTATATCCTCTGAGCAGAAATGAGTTGTTTAGTTTGGAATGTCACTCTCATCCCTCTTCATCCTGAGGGCTATTGATTTCACAGCAATCACATTCTGTCTCTTCGTCCTGATTACTTACTGGTTTCTTCTCCTTTTCTGTGTATAGGCGTGGCCAGACTTCCTTGTTTTGAATGTAAAACTTTTTATTTCATTCTGCTACCAAATCTTGTTAATGTCTCCTCTTCTTTTCACTGACCAATTTGCCAAACTTGTCTGTCTGCTGCTTCATGTAATCCCCCATCTCCAGCTAACTACAAGATTTGATTTGGATATCTCTTCATCACTTCAAACTCTCAACATCTAAAAATTAACTCATCTGTCTCTCATTGTTTTAACTAAGAAAAGTCACATACGGAGAGAAGACAATCATATTTGACATAGGACTGGTATCTTGAATATATGAAGAACTTCTACAAATCAATAAGAAAAAAGAGGCAACTCAATAGAAAAGTGAGGGAAAAAAATAAACACCCTGAACATCCGTTTCAAAGAGGAGAAAAGTGGCCAGCAAACATTAAAAGATGCCCAAACTTATTAGTAAATAAGTAAATGCAAAATAAAACCACCAGGAGATGCCATTTCACGCTCAACTAATGAACGTATATGAAAGTATGACATTTTCAAAGATTGCTGAGGATGTGGAGCAATGAGCATTCTCATACATGGTGGGAGTAAATTTTGGAGCAATCACTGTGGAAACAAATTTGATATTACCTAATAACATTAAACATGCATATCCTGTGACCCAACAATTCTACTGCTAGTTATTTAACATGTGTGCTCTAGAAGACTTGCACAAAACTGTTTCAGACAGTGATGTTTGGAATAATAGCAAAAACACTGGAAATGACCAAAATATTCATAAATAGGATGGATAAATAAATTATATATATATATCCAATCAACAGAATACTATACACTTGGAAAATAAGTGAACCACAGCTACATGAATCAACAAGGGTAAATCTGAAACACATAATGTTGAGAAAAAAATGCTACTCACAGGAATTCATATGGTATCGTTTCCTTTCTGATAGATTATGTAGGAATGTTTACCCATTCATTGTTGTAAAAAATACAAGGAAAAGCAAGGGAAAGATTCACTCAATGTTCAAGACAGTGATTACATCTTGGGTGAGGAAGATGTACTTAGGAAGGGACCAAAGGAGGCTTCAAAGATATTCTAACCCTCTATTTCTAAGGCTGGGTGGGACGAGCATTCTTTCCACTTTAAAATTGGTAGATCCATTACATATACTTCTATGTGTGATGTATTTTATGATTAATACATAAAGAATCTAATGCTCAATAACTATTCTCAGGGTTTTAAGAATACTCAAAGTTTCTTCAGTGTCAAGTGAGTTTTTGTAGATTCTCCCTCTCAGTCTTGAAATGCAAGCATTCCACAGTGGAATAGAAAGTGAAAGTCAGAAGTGTTGTTAGAATTAGTTAATATATGTATTTGTTTGAAGGTATGTTGAAAAAAATTGGCCTTCTGTCAGTTAAACACTTTTGTATTAATAATAATAATAAAGCTAGCTCTTTATAACATTTCAAACATTTTAAAAATCATGATGATAATGTAATTCTGGAAAAGTTCAACTGAACAGAGACATATGAGACAGATAGTAGGGTAAAAGTTTATAGAAAGAATGTAGAAGGAGGAAACCATAAGCACTCTCTAGAAACCCAGAACTTTCCATGGCTGCAGACTTGGATTCATATAGTTGATTTCAGTGTTCTCCTGATATGGTTGGATACTACTAAAAACATTAGGGGAAGATGGAGAGAAACCTGCAGACTCTTAACAACTCTATAATCTTTTTCCAATTGCTCCATAGACCATTGTATGTGAGAGTGGGCTTGGCACTGAGAATGGAGGGAAAGATTGGTATGTTCTTTTAGCCTGTAATTCTACAAACAACTCTGCAGTTTCCCTTTTGAGTTCTTTTCTGACCCTCCCTCCTTTTTGCCATCTGGCATGTAGAGTATGACCTTGTATTTCCACATTTTCCCCTTTTACAAAGTTAGAGAGTCTCTACAAAGTTAGAGACTACCTAGAAACAGGGGGATGTTCAAGGAGTTGGGGAGTTTATGATGGGATGGTCACACCATTTGCTGAAACTCCATCAAAGGCATTCAGTTTTAAAGCTAAATACAGAAACACAAAGGGCGTGTGACAGTGGGATGGTGGTGGGGATTGTTCTGTGTTGTTGCTGTTGTTGGAAGTAGAACCCTGCATTAAAACTTGCATTGTACAAAATAGAAAAAAAAATAATAATCCTGGTAAAAATGCACAAATATTTCTGAAATTGGACAAATACCATTGGTCTTAAATATTTTATTACATGTGTTAAAGTCCTCCAGAAATAGAAATTTTCTTCAATTGTTCCTCTCACTTGCCCCAAAATTCTAAAGAAAGAAGTTTAGAATATGGTTTACTAAGTTTATTAGATTATAATCTGTTTGATTTCTCACGTTTTTATATCGGTTCTTGAAGTTTGGTGAACATTGTTTTTTAGAGAAACATCATTAGAGACGTCTCAGGAAATGTAAAGTACTTTGCCACACAGGCAGTGGGAAAGCAATGTTACTGTGTCATTATTCATATTTGCTAAGGTACAACTGTCCTGTTAGAAATAGGCAGAAGAACTATTCCAGAAACAATGGTTGGACCCAACCAGAGAGTCTCATTGTTTTTCTTTAATTCTGTGAAATCAAAAACAATTTGAGACCATGAAATTGAATCAGTTTTATTGGAAAGTAAACATGTTGATTCCAATTTAACTATTGAATCTATTATTCAAGAATATGCCAAATATATCAGATTTAAAATAGTTTTTTTCCAATTTTGGAGCAGGTAGGTGGAGCAGTTGAAGCAAATTTCTACTTCTGAAAGACTTTAATGTCATGGACTCATTTTAGTCTATATAATAGAGAGCAATAGGGTATAGGGAAGATGGGTAAGGGGAGTAGACAAGTGGAACCTAGAACCAAAGACCATTGCACAGTGTGTGAAAGTAATAATCTAACCCACGTGTATACACAACTTCAATCATTTTTTTTTCAAACGCAGTATCCACTTCTAAAGATTACTCACCTAGAATTTAGTTTAAGTTTCTTTTTGAGGTTCCGGCCCACAAAAGGCTTTTAAGACTGCATGTCATTGGGTTCTGGATTACTTAATTATTTTGATCAATTCTTATTAGTTTATTGATGATGTATATATTTTCTGTTTCTTCTTCTTCTCACTATGTGGTCTTCTCTCAACTGAAAATGAAGATTGCTGCGTCCACTGTATCCTGGCCTGCTTGTTCTGTGAATTCCTGACCCTCTGCAATATTGTCCTAGGACAAGCTTCGTGTGGCATCTGCACCTCAGAAGCCTGCTGCTGTTGCTGTGGAGATGAAATGGGGGATGACTGTAACTGCCCTTGTGACATGGATTGTGGCATCATGGATGCCTGTTGTGAATCATCAGACTGTTTGGAAATCTGTATGGAATGCTGTGGAATTTGTTTTCCTTCATAAATATTTATCTTCTGTTTGTGTTAAAACTGGAGAGTGTTTAAAAATTTTTCTGTTAAGGGGGAAGAAAAGCACATGGTAAGAGTCTCATGAAGCAACCTAGTATTTGCACTGTTAACTCATTATTTTTAAGTAATCTCTGAAAGCCTTTTTTTCTCTAACCAAGTCTACATGGTTTAATATGTGAATTTTAACTACTTTTAAACTTCTTAAAAGGTTACAATGACTGAGGGACATTTTGTCCAAAAAAAAAAAAAAATTCTAAATGTCTCCTCCTTTTTATATGTATTTCTATTTCTTTTAACCCTTCTCAAGAGCCTCTTGCTCCAAATATATTATTTCTCAGTGAGTATTTAAACCAGACAATTTATTTTTGGTGTTTATCTATTAATGGTTCAAAGTAAGAATTCTTTACTTTAAAGTAGACTTTGGGAAACAAACTCACTCAATAGTTGGGCACCCAGTGTTGGTCTCCATGCTCTGTTCTCCACCTGTTCAAGAGAGAGAAACTCAAAAGGCTATAGGAATACACAGAAAAGAATAGCTAATGTCTGCTGGCATATTCAGAAGGCTTCAAGGAAAATGTAATATTTGAGGAGTTCTCTTGGGATGAGTGATTCATTGCTGCTTAATGAATTAGATTTAGGACCAAGTTTTAGGTGGACAGCCTGAACTGTGTGTGTGCCCTTAAGCAATTAAAAGAAAAATGCCTTAAGTATGTATTTTCTTTAGTTGCAGGAATACAGCTTTTTTAAAAAAACTATGAAATTAAAATATGCATTTTCTTACACATAATTTAAATGTTAATAAAATCTTTGATAAAAATGTAATGCCTTATTAAAATAGCTATATTTTGTAAAGAATGTGGACTACTTTTGACAAAGTGCATTTAAGTTAGAAGATTTTTATATTAAAATCCCAGTATTCTGATCTTGATTCATTCAAAAGCTTTCTCTGTTATTTGAGAGCTTTAAGTCTTTTTTGGGGGGGAAGAAGGTGTTGTATGTTTGTTTGTTTTGGTTTGTTTCTTAACCAATGTTATATTTTATAAGCACGGTTAATCTTAAATGCAAGTTATTCTCTCCAAAGTAGTGGGCATCTCGACATCCACTGCTGTGACCAAATTTTGGTATTGCAATTTTATGTTAAATTAAACCAATATGGCAGGTTATAAAGATCCTTAAGTGTAAAGAAACAAGTCAGTTACAAGACTATGTATATCGTTTTTGAGACATAGACACTGTGGTGCAGATGAAAGGGAGAGAGAATTTTCTACTATGTCCTCTCCTACTAAGTTTGATCTCCCCAAAGTTGTACTTTGGTTTGATTTAATGTAATTCCTGATAGAAATTTTGAAAGTATACTTTTGGGTTAATAGTTATTTTCAGTTATTCTGGTTGAATATCAAATTGATAGTAAAAACAAATGCATATTTTTAGACAGCCTTTTGCAAACCTAGGCTTTTGAGAAGTTTTAAACCTAAAGCATGGGAATGTTGCCCATGATTTTTCCTTTGAGATGAAACCTAGTTGCTACTTATGTCATTACTTAAAAGGCTTAAAAAAAATGTTAGCAAACTCTTGAATCCCCCATTTAGTGCTATTTATACACAGACACACACACACACTCCTTTAAATTGTTGGATTTAAATAGAATTCTAGTAAACAACTGTCTTTCTCTTCCTTGTCTAAAGAGCGTCTTTCATTTGTTACATCAAATATAAGAACATCTTTGTACTATTTCATAGTAACCAGAATCTGATTATTTACATATACCCTAAGTTAACTTATGCATATATATTAGGATGTAAGAGTATCATCTGTGTATTGACATATAAAGCCTTCTAATGACCTGGAATTGTTAAAATATTTCATGTTTCATCTTGCAAAATTTTTCAGTCAAGTTGTTTGTCTAATATTTAAATAAATCCCGCTACTATTTGCAATGAAAATATTAGCACTTTTAAAATAATGTTTCTCTGTAACAGAGAACATTAATCGATAGCAGAATTTTATTTTCATATTTATAGTCATAGTACTTTTCCTCTCTTGTCTAGTCTGCAGTCATTCCATAAAGTACCTTGTATGATTGAAAAAGCAAATGAAAAAAACAAAAGTAGGCAAATGTGAAAATAGTTTCAATATATTTTAGAATTTCTGTATGTAAAATGTTTCTTTGAATTATATGGCCATCATGATTAAGTGCTAGAGTTTACAGTTACAGATTTGGTCTCTTTTTAAATGTGGAAACTTAGTCTTAAATATTTTTAAACTGGACCTGTATTATCCTGGATACATTATTTTGAAATAAAAAAAAAGATGTCTCTATTGTGCTTTAACATATTTTCTATCTAATTAATATATTAGTTGATTGATAGTTGAATGAATTCAACTATAATTTAAAACCTGAGGATTTTCTTTATCTTGTTACTCCCGTTTCTGAAGATTTCTCCATCTCCTTATTTGAATCACGTGACTCATGCCCATAAATGAATTATGTAAGATTCACATCAGTTTATACTGCAAATTACAATTGACATATGATTTCAAAACAGTGTTCTTTAAAAAATTTGCAATTGGTCAAAATGCAAGTTTTGTACTTTTTTTTAGTAAGTTGTTTCTATTTATTTATTTTGCAATTATCTCTCAACTTATAAAAACGAATGCAATTTTTTTATATATATGCTGAGATTAAACGCTAAAGATTTATAATATTGAGTATTAGACTTAATGAATTTCACCCAAAATTTCATCAGAAGTGTTTTCATTTAGGGTTCTTAGTGGCACAATTTTTAAGTAGTTGGAAATGTTTTACAATTCATATTTAACCAAGGCAACCTTATGTAATAACTTTCCATTCTCTATCCATACAAAGTCTATCAGTGCCCTAGATTCTAATGTTATAAACGTCAAAGTCACTGCCTAACATAAATAAGACTTGAGTCCAGAGTCTCTGTGGCTTGCCTTCTTGAATTCCAGCTTAAATGCTTAGATTTACCCAACCACTTAATGAATAAGTTTATTTATTAATAAGATTATTTGTCAAATTATTCAAGACCTTTCTGCCCTTTCCAATTACTTGTGATTTGTAGGCCTGTAGATTTAGTACATCTAATCTGACAAGCAAGATAAAATTTCATCAAATACTACAATAGCCATTTTTCTTTTTCTTTTACACTCATGTAGTAAAGCATACCATTTTTGTTTTAAACAGAGGTTAATATATTAATAGAGTTTATTCTACACTTACTGTTTATATTTTTTAATCAAGGATTTATACCACAAGGGAGTCCCTTTAACCTCTCATCTCCATGTCCCCTATAACCAATAAATCTACAGCGAGTTTTTCTCTAGGCACCTCAAGGGAGTCCTGTAACCCTCAGGTAATTTCAACCTAGGGAAGACGTTTGGCACCTCCCGTGAGAAAACTGTTAGTTCCAACAGTGAGGCTACTAATATTTACTTGCTTATTTAAGATTACTTTTGGAGATTTGGGTTAAAATGGAAGGGGTTGTAGATAACATTATGATGCAGCCCTAATGTGGAGGATGATTTTTGCAAAAACTATCATTGGTGACTAAATCCACCATGTATTTTCACATTGCAAAATTCCCAATGAACAATGGCTGCTCCCTCTGCTGTAAAGGACTGTGAATCAAAATATCTTATAAATGACCAAATTTTAATGACGTCAGTAGACAATCAGGAGGTGAAAAGGATTATAAGCAAAGCCACAGCCGAGTCCCACCTGGAAAGCAGGATCTCTGGGCAAGTAGATATCTGCACCACCCCATTCCTCATCATCCTGGGACAGCAGGGTGACATTTTCCACAAAAGGCTGCAAACAATAGCTCTTCAGCTGCCAAATGTCAACATAAGTAGTTTCCTGCCTTCAACTGAACTGCGGCTACTAGTTCTAGTTCCACTGTTTGTTTGTTTGTTCGTTATTTATGTCCTCGACCCCTCACCTCGTTGCTCGCTAAACGAGAATCCTGAATTTGGTTGTGAGGTGGCCGTGAAGAAATCACTTTAGAGAACCATCCTTTGACGCATTACCAACATGGGGTATAGATATCTGTGTTAAAGACAAAGTAGAGCTCTGCAATTAAGTGCTCCCTTCCAGGCAGGTCTTTGTGTGAGGTTCAGTTGAGAACGTAATTATTAGGAAAATAGTGGAAAGCAAATTCAAACAAATTCTAAGTTTAGCTTGAAACATTGAAAAGGTTCTTAAGTTCTGTCTGATGCATAAAGGGGTAGAAGCAAAGGAATTACTTTCCAAAGCCAAGAAGGAGAGTGTACAAAAGCAGCTGATCCACTTGACATAGTTCATAGCCTTTTGCAAAGGAATAAAAGCCTGTTGAGCAGCGAACCAAAAGATCTCATTATAGGATGAAGCCAAGCCATATTAAAGCTTGTGCACTAGTAACTATGTCTAAAAACAGCCTGCTGTTTTATATTGAACCAATACATTTCTTAACTTGGTAGGTTGCAGTGTAAAGATGTACAGAGCCTGTCTGCTGGATGCTATGCCAATTACAGATGTGGTGGAGTGGTGTCAAACACCTACAAATAGTTAGGCTCTCAAGCAATCTTAGAGTGAAACAAAAGAAGTTTTAAAATGTCATCTCAAAACCTAGAAAGCACTGTTCATCCTGTGTGTCTGATTCCGAGTCTTGAAATCACCTTTATTATATAATTTAACATGGCCGTCATGATCCCTCAATCAGAATGCACAATTCTTTCAAGGACATGAATAGTGCCTGGGAGATAAGGACAATATCTTTTAAAAGTAACACCTTCAGATGACAAGGCATTTGTGATCAGCTCGGCAGGAACTGCGTTTTATTGGTGTTGAGGTGAAGGAGGAGGGAAATGCCCATGAATACATATTATATTAGATTTTGTTAGATCATCAGAAAGAATAATTGGGCATATTTACACAATTACATTTTAGTAAACTATTATGCCAGCTTAACTAATACATATTCTGGTAAAAGTACATTAAATAGCAATACAAAAGCAATTTGGCTGCTGAAGACATTATTTTTTTTATCTAATTATTCACAAATTAATGAATAAAATTAAATTCCAATCACTGAAGAAAATGAAGCAACGGTGAGAATCAGAACTACAGATTAGTTAAGGCAAAGATATGCAATGCATAACAGAATTAACGCATTTCTTTTATTCAAACTTGCTGCTTAAAAAAGAACAAATCCATCATCTTGAAATTTGACTTGTGGCTTGACATTAAAAATAATATGAGTAGAATTTTCAGTGGGGTAAGCACAAAACTAGTTCAAGTTGTGTCACTCTCAATTACTGTACTCAGGTGGTGTGCCCATTAAAATTCCCACTTGTGGGTTCCGCTCACTATGTAAATGGGGTCATTACCTGGAGAATTTAATTGGTTATGACACTGGGAGTAGGACTTTTCCTTTCAAAATAAACCCACTTACACACATTTTCAGTAGAAATTTGATTGTTATATATACTTTGGATTGTTTTGCTCTATAAATATTTACTAAAATTAGTAAACTGTCTTTAGTTATTTCTTACAAATAATTTGAAGTGGATCCAAATTACTTTGTGAATATGGTTTTATTTGTTTGTCTATAGGGCTAGTTATAGTTAGAAGGAATCTTTTGTAAATAATTTTGCTTATCAAAATATTATTTAAAAAATCTTTGCATCTTTCAAACCACCCATCACGTGTCAGTACATTTCCACTAAAGATTTTTGTCATTTAATAGTACACATTTTCT